ATGTTTCCTTGCAGCCTGTGGTTCCAGCTCGTACCCACAAATCACAGTCTGAGTGACGCTAAGGAACTTCTCATCGTCCTACCATGAACAGACAGAATAAACTGTATTCCCTGTGTACCAAAACCCCCTTGTGAAGTCATTGCCCATTCTTCACCAGCAAGATGAAGACTGCTTGCGGAATGTGTGTCTGGACTAAAAGGTCTCACGTCCATCTTTCTACCCCTTGGCTTTCTTCCGTAGAAATGGGAAAGTTCTGAAACACATAGACTCTGGGGTTGGATGAACCTAGCTTTGAATTCTGACTCGTTGTTTGTCTGCATATCCTTGGGAAAGTCTATAAAGATTTAACCTCTCGGAGTCTTAACTTCCTTACTGTAAAACAAAGATGATCCTGAATTCTTTCAGAATTTCTGTGAGGACTAAATTGGGTAATGTTTGCAATATGCGTACCACAGTGCTGGGGACATAGTAACACTCAGCATCACATCACAGCCATTGTCAGTCTACCGGCTGTGCACGCAAAGTTAGGTACCTGCTATGTGCCTCGCTCTGTTTGTTAATGTAATTAATCTTTATGCAACCCTAGAAGGCAGGAACTGTCTTTATGCCCATTTTATAGATAAGAAAGTGGAGGCAAAGAGAAGCTAAGCAACTTGGTCACCCAGCTAATGTCAATGTCAGGGCTCAAACCAGGTGGTTTATCTCCAGAATCTTCATACTTAACCACCAAAAAGTGCTTGATAGATGGTAGCTATAGAACAGTGGGGAGCCCTGGTGGTACAGTGGTTAAGCACTCAGCTGCTAACCACAAAGTCAGCAGTTTGAATCCACCAATCGCTCCCTGGAAACCCTATGGGAGCAGTTCTACTCTGTCCTATACGGTCGCTACAGTTGGAATCGACTCGATGGCAATGGGTTTGGGTTTTTTTTGGTATAGAACAGCAGTTCTCAACTGAGGGAAATTTTGCCCCCCACCCCCCGTGGAACAGTTGGCAATGTCTGCAGACATTTTGGATGTCACAGCTTGGGGAGGGTTGCTAATGGTATTTATTGAGTAGAGGCCAGGGATGCTGCTAAATACAATGCATAGGGCAGCCCCCATGACAAAGAATTACTGTTGATAGTGTCAAGGTTGAGAAACCCTGATGTGGACTGAGACAAGCTGGTGCAACCCAAAGGGAATTCATTGCTGCAGGTACTAACAGGAGATGGTCGTGAGGCACGCTGAGCACTTGGTGCCTGTGGAAGCTCTCCCTATGCCACATGGAATGATGAGAAGTAACATGTGGGGAGACACTCAAAGTCTGGGGAAGGGGATAAGCCCAGAACCAGGAGGATTTAGAGCTGGACCCCAGCTCTGCTATGAGCTCACTGTCCAGGGGGTTGTGAGCCTCTCAAAGCCCCTGACTACTTGACTGTACAAGGAGAGGGGGCGAGCATTCCTGCCCACAGGGCTGTGAAGCTCCACCAAAGCAGTGCATGTATCTGGCGCACAGTGAGTGCTTAATGAACTGGCAGGAATGTGATTACGTAGGGGGCTTCTCAGTAGTTGAAGCCCTATCAAGGAACGGAGGTGCTGGGCCAGAACCAAGAGGCAGGAGGTAGCAGCTGTCTGGTCCCTGGGGAGCCCGGGATTAGCAAAATCCAGTAAACGCTGATGATGTCTCCAGCCAGTTTCCCTCCCTGTTAGGCAGGAGGCTTGTCTGCAGTGAAGGGTGAAAAGCAGTCTCTCTCCACAGCTGGCAGTTTCTATAGCTCTGTCGTGAGGAAGGTGCTATGTGGCTAGTTTTTTTGTTTGTTTTTTGCTTGGCTTAGTTTTTCCCCCAGAAGTTTCATCTGTTCAGCCTCAGCAAAAAGCATTTAAAAGTCGGGAGATGGATGCCAGTATCTACAGATTTCATAACATTCTCAATTCCTGTCACACTAACAGGAAAATCAGGTAGGTAGATAACACTGGAGGATTTTTACCCTGTTGGTTAGCAGCGTTATTGGTTTATTCTTTTCTTTAGGCCTAAATGGAAGTTAGTGTCAAACACACACTCCTACACACACACACACATACACATACACGCACACTCGAATTCCTCATTTTTGCTCCATCCAGAGACTTACACAAGTTTTGTGATTTTTCTTAATTGTTGGGATGTGAACATCACCCACCCTCCTCTAGGATTTTCCACAAGACAAGGCCAAATTATCTGCATCGTGATCGGTATTCCTTCCCTCAGCAGGAAACCCAAATGTGATTGGATAGATTTTTAAGAGTACCTAAGTCTTTTTAGAGAGATGTTGTATTTTTAATCGAGTGAACGTTTTAATTACTAACATGCCATCCACCTCCGAACCTCCCACTAAACCTGCTCCTGGGTTTCTCATGGCTTCCTGTGAATACGGAGCAGCAACTTGCCCCTTTGGAACACTGCTTATTAGGGCTGAAAAAAGCCTTGGTAGAAGTTCCCATGGGTGGATACCCTGTTATTTATTTATTTTTTACTGAGCTACAACAGTTTCTGAGCTGTTCCTGGGTTTGACAAAGCCAGATTTCAGGACAGGCCCACTCATATTTGGAGGTCTGTAGGAAGATGGAATCAACAAGAAACAAAGCAAAGCACCTCCTTCCTTCCTGCCTGCCCGCCCTCCCTCCCTCCTTCCCTCCCTTCCTTCCTTCCCTCCCTTCCTTCCTTCCCTCCTCTCTTTCCCTCTCTCTTCCTCTTCTCCTCCACTTAACTTGAAGTTCTGGTGGCCACAGGGAACCTTCACAAACTTTACTAGCAAATGAAGTTGAACCCCAGAAATAACATACACCTACATAATGGGAAAATACTGGACTTGGAGGGACATCATACCTGGATTCTTATCTTTGTTTTGCAGCCAACAGACTCTGAAACCTTAAGTGTGCCATGTGACTCTCTGGACCTTAGTTTTCCCTTCTGTGAAATGGGCAGATGGGGACTGGTGGTGGTCGCCATCCATCCCACATGACTCTAGGGATTAGGTTTATAACATAAGTGAATGAAATGCGTAGGCAGGGCCTGTGCTAAATTGAGAAGCCCATGTCCTTCTAGTGGAAGCAGTCTTTACCTGCAGTGTCCTCTATTCCCAAGGCTATGTGGAAACGCAGGCCTAGGTCCACCATATCTTCTCATGTTTTCAAGAGAAGCCTGAAACCCAGAAATCCAGATTTCCAAGGGAAATCTCTCAATTTTCCTAGATGTTGGAAGTGAGTATTGATGGATGAGCCAAACATGTCAATGAATGAACTAGCTATAGCGCCAGGGCTGAAAGTTTGTAGCCACTGGACAAAATTTTGTCCATGACCATGACCTGAAACTGCTCCTTAGCACAAGTGTTCAAATAAACCACACACACATGCACACACACACACACACACACACACACCAAAAACAAAAACCATTGTTCACTGTTAGATAAAATAACCACTAATGGTCAAAAGCCCAAGGACTTAACTAGATTCAGCTGCAGAATATGTTAATTCACTTATTTTACTCTAGAATGCTGAAGGGGTTCCCTTCATCCTGGGACTCACAGAGAGTGATATGCACAGGAAGTTGAATAAACTATCTTATGCTTCATCATACATTGCTACTACCGAATTATACATAGTTTCATGTAGCTTTTGCCTGTTGTAACAGAATTCTCTCCAACAATCACCTTGGCAAGAACACTGGAAGCTAAGGCAGCTATATTAATATGACTGTGGAAGTTCAAACAAATTAACAGTGAGGGGAGTGCATTGAAAAATACTCTTAACATCTGAATTTTAGCTGAAGGTATATATTTCAGGCATTTTATTTCCTTAGGATTTATTTTTAATCTTATATGTTGGGAACTATATTGACATCCTTTTTTTTTTTTTTAAAGTATGGTTTCAATCTCTTGTAAGATGTCCCTAAAAGGTTTCCCTTCAACATCTTGGATTGGGTTTCTGAGAAATAATAAGCAAAGGAAAAATATTGACCATCTACAATCAATAAGGCAGATGAATGCAGGCAGGCTTGCCTATCAAGCTGTTGAGGAGAGCGCATGGGGCACAAACATACATGATCCCGTTGTTAGAAGTCCTGTTTGTCTCAAGTATGGTTAGAGACGTCCATGTTATCCACCAAATGCCCATTTTCACTTTTGCTGTACAGGCGAGGTAGCAGAAACATTTCCAAGCCACCATGAGACAAGAAATGACTTTCACACTCTTGAAGGTATTTTCCAAAAGCTTTAGACACTCCTGGAAAAGTCTGCTTTTATGGTCAGTAACTTCTCCAACAATGGTTCCCAAACTTTGGCATATCAAGGAATGGTCAAATTTCAAAGCAAATTTTCAGCAGCTAACAATTAAAAAAAAAATTACTGAGAGAGGAGAGGAATGAAAACAACACAAGAAGTATACCAAAAAAGAAAAAAAAAAAGAAGCCAGATACTATCTATTATCCTCAAAATTTCATTAAAAAATAACATTTCATCACAAAAACAGAAGAAAAAGCATACTGTCAACATAAAGAACAGTCCCCTGAATTGAATAAAATTAGCCTTAATTCAAGACTTACCACATATCCTGATTTTTTTTTCCCTTTCCAGCAGCTGGTCTAGGTTAAACTTTGCAAAAGCCCACCCTGGGGGGTTGTGGGGGGGTGGGGAAGGCACTGTATTACTCCATCTAATGGTCTAGAATTGTATACTCTTCAACAGAGAACTTAGTACGACATGATATCATAATGTTGATTATTAGCATACCAGAATATCTTTCAAATAGATGAAATTTTCTTTGCTTTTTAACAGTAACCTTGTAGGAAACCCCAAAAGTCAGATTTTTATTTCAATCGATATATGTGCCTTGCCCTAAATGCTCTGCCCTAGGGTTAGGGATGGAAACGAGGTAGGATTTCAGTATGGATTCTACATAACAGGCAAACAAGCACTGGGACTGACTGTATCAGAAGGCCGTGCTAGCGCCACCTAGAGGGAGAGGAGGGAGGGAACGTTACCTTTGAAATGCACGTTGTGGGCTCGGACAAGCGAGGGTAGGTGTAGGAGTTGTACGAGTGTCCTTGGGGGTGGGTCTTAAATGCACTTGCTCCAAACGGCGTCATGGGCTCCTGGAGCCCTGAGCCTGACCTGGACCTTTGCCGCATGGCCGGCTGAGGGCTGGTCTGATGCAGGTACGACGACTTTGGCCTCCTGTCATAGTCATCCAGGCAGGGTCCCCATTCACTTTCGCTGTACGCCAGGCTTTCTTTCGAGCACCCGCTGGTCCCTGCAGTTCTAGACGGAGTGAATTGGAACGGGTCTCGGTAGTCCAGCGGGGAGCTACTTGAGGCTCTCTGATATTCCCACTTGAGGTCACTGTATTCACTTGGTTTGCTCAGGGAGTCCAAGTGTGTGTGATAATCGACAGGAAATCTGGAAATATCGGATTTCAAAGGCTTCATGTCAGAATAGTAGGCCTCCCCGTGTTTCATTTTCATTACGTGCCCATTTTGCTTGGCCGCGTGGCTGCCTTTATAATACGGATCCAAGTCGTCTCCGTAGGGACTCTTTTCTCTGTACTTCTCGGTGGTGTAGTCAGTAGTAGTATCAGACTCACTGGAATATTGTGAGAAGGTGATGAAGCCATTTTCCTCCGAATGGCGCGGACCGTGGCTGGAGGCTCCCTGATCCGGGGTGGGTGGGCTTTCTTTCCTTAGGGAGTTGGAGCGCGTCACAGAGATGTTGTCGAAATCCTCTAGCAGGCCGTTGATGGAGGTTTCCTTGCAGGGTTTGTTTCCTCTAACGATTGTCTGAGAATATTAAAGGGAATGACTTTTAAAAAGAGCATTTCATGCTTTTAAATTGATGGGTGAATTCCACCCCCATCCCATCCAATTTAAACCACAGAAGAAAATAAACCCCAGGGAATATTTCATCAGAAATTAAAAATTTTTTTTTTATAGATTTCAGTGGCAAAAGAAATATTAAACAATATCTCAAATTGCAAATTTTTCCTCACCTGTTTCAGCAGAGATCAAATAAATGCCATAGAGCCATTCAGAAGACTATCTAGCCTATAATTGCCTTATTTACCAGTTTATGGGCAATCCCCTCCCACTGCCCTTTCACCTAAATAATAAACCCTCTCTAACAATGTGCTGAGAATTTTAACAGACTACAACTATTCATTTATAAACAGCATATTTATTATCCTTTTAGATTTATCATCTAGATGATTCCAAAACCAGAAAAAGCAAATCACCTGGATATTAACAATATAACCAGAAATTAGTGCATCTATTTTGCCCCTTATGGACAACATATAAACAATGGAGGTTATCAGATTTTAAAGAAGAGGAAGGCACTCTCTGAAACTGTAAATAGGCAACAGAATAAAGATTACTGGTGTGATTTAATCTGTGATCAAATGTGATATTTGATTAAGTATAATGCTTGCTATGGTCACACTTTTGTGCCTCATCATCGCTGAATATCGGATGGCTTGGTAATGACCTGGTTGCACCTGGATCTTGGTAACAAATGGCCAAGCCCAAATGTTCCCTTTAATGAACCTAAATCACTCTGGAATACCAGGAACAGAAAGAAATCACAAACCACTTACAAAGCACCAGCTGACAATGACAAGGTTTGGCAGCACAATAGGATGGGGGTGGATAAGAGAAGAACAAAAAGTATTGGGACTTCAGACTTGCAGGATTTTACAAGAACAATACTTTGGGCAAGTAGCAAGGAGTTCAAAAACCATCACAGCTAGTATAATAAAAGGTTTAAACTGCAGGAAAAAGTCCAAGCTGCCCTGGAGCACAGGTTTTAGAGATCAACGCTTTTCAAACTCTGTGGAGAAAGAGGTTTTGTTATTGTTTTTGTTTTTCCCCCAAACACTGCTGGGCTACTACTCTTGGCCTGTTAACAGTTTCTTTTAAATAACCTTTTTATTTTATAATAGTTTTAGATTTAGAGAGAAGTTGCAAAGAGAGTACAGAGAGTTCCCATATACCCCATTACCTGGTTTCCCCCATTGTTAACATCTTACATCACTCTGGTGGTTGTTGTTAGCTGCTGTCCAGTGGCCACACACCCCCCTCTCCCCGTGACACATGGCGACCCCATGCACAATGAAAAGAAATGCTGCCTGATCATGTGTCCATCCCCACGATCAGCTGTGGATTGGACCGTTGTGATTTTCAGAAGATTGTCAGGACCTTCTTCCACATTACTTTGGTACATTACTATTAATTAAACTCCACAGTTTATTCAGATTTCACTAGTTTTTCCCTAATGTCCTTTTTCTGTTTCTGGATCCCATCCAAGATACCACATTACATTTAGTTGTCCATGCCTCCTTGGCCTTCTCTGGTCTGTGACAGTTTCTCAAATTTCCTTGTTTTTGAGAACCTTTAATATTTTGGTGTTTTGAGTATGTAGAATGTCCCTCAATTTGAGTTTGTCTGGTGTTTTTCTCATGTTAGACTGGGGTTATCGGTTTTTGCAAGGAAGACCACAGAGGTAAAATGCCACTTTCATCACATCATATTAAGGGTACATCCTATCAACATGATTTACCACTGAGGATGTTAACCTTGGTCTCCTAACTGAGGTAGTGTTTTTCAGGCCTCCATTGTAAAGTCACCTCCCTACCCCTCCTTTCCATACTCTGCACTTTGGAAGCAAACCACTAAATGCAGCCCACACTGAAGGGATGGGGAGTTAAGTTATGCTCTACCTCCTTGAGTAGGCATCTACATAAATTATTTGGAATTCTTCTGCAGAGGAGATTTGTCTGTTCTCCCCCATTTATTTACTTATTTGGTAGAGACTCATGGTTGTTTACATCATAGTTTGGGTTATAATCCAAATTGTTTTGTTGTTAAAATTGTTCCAGCTTTGACCATTGGGAGTTCTTTTAGGTTGGCTCTTGTGCCTCTTTGACATGTCCCCTTTCTTTTATTGTTTGAGCACTTCCTTTCTTTCTGGCACTACAAGATGCTCCAGGCTTATCTTGGATATTCACTGCCCTAGTCCTAAGACCAGCCATTTCTCCAAGGAGACCTGGTTCCTTTTATTGGAGAATGTTATTAGAAACCAAGATCTGGGTGCTGAGTGTGCTTGTTGCTACTGGAGTGTCATTGCTTCCAGGCCCTTTCAGTGGACAGAGCTAGGAGACATATACATATATATATACTGATTGTATACATACATATATATAATTATTTCTGTATCTATACATCTGTATCTATATTAAGTTAAACATGAGTTCATACGAATGTCTCTGAATTTAATATAGTACCACATGGTTGATTCTAGCCTCCTCCCACTTATTTATCTGTAACTTTCCTCTCCAACAGTGAGAAACTTGGCTCCTACCATCTGCTATTCATTTACTTATTTGCTCAATTCCAGGATACAGGTACAGCAGTTTCAAAATTATTCATCCATACTCCCTTGAGAAACAACTTTACCAACTAGAGTGCAGTGCTTATGTACATTTTGTCTTTAGTCTTACAGTTTCCAGTCAAAACACTATTTTCCAAACTTGTTTAGGTTAGCATCATTTTCCCCATCCCCTTCAATGAAGTTGTCATAAATTTTATTACAGTTAGATTCTTTTGTCACAGTTTGCATTCCATCCTGGGATCCCCTGGCCTCCTAGTTAATTTTTTAAAAATTGCATACATTAAGGTTCAGTCTTTGTGCTACAGTTCCCCAGTAGTTTCGCCACCCAAAAAATCCCGTGCTTCCCGAAGTCAAAAATTATCCTGTCCCCAAACCCTTGGCACCAGTGATCTATTTTCTGTCCCTATAGTTTTGACCCTTCCAGAATATCACAGGAATAGAATCATACAGTATAGAACCTTTTCAGTCTGGCCTCTTTCACTTAGCAAAATGCACTTAAGGCTTATCCCACTTGTTGAGTGAATTAATAGCTTATTCATTTTTACTGCTGGATAGGATTCTATTGTACGGATATATCACAGCTTGTTTATCTATTCACCTATTGAAGGACATCTTGATTGCTTCCAGGTTTTGGCTCTTATAAATAAAACCATAAACATTCCTGTGCAGGCTTTTGTACGGACATAGTTTTCAAATCATTCAGGTAAATACGAGGAGCACCATTGTTGGGTCATATGTTTATAAAAAACTGCCAAACTATCTTCAAAGTGTCCTGTTAATGAGACCAGTGTTGGGTCTCATTGACTGTTACAGAAATGTCAAGTCATCATGAAAGTTTTTAAATTCTTACACTCAACTTCTGTACTTATCTCTTTGTGGACTGATAACAAACAATTCTGTCCACAGACCATGCACTGTTTTAGATCACTTATTTCAATGAGGAGAACAGAACTGAATGGTTTATTAGAAGACACTTGAGTAAATTCAAAAAGAGACTGTAAACCAACACAATGACTCACCCTCAAAAGCTACTTCCAACAACCTCTTCAAGTTATAGACGTTTCATTACCCATTGTTGTCAATGGCAAGGTCTACTCTATCTTTGCTTAAGATTGGCTCCTACCATGTCAAGCAGAATATACGTTCTCCCTGGTTAGGCAGAACCCTTCTTCAGTACACTGTCATTGTCTGGCTTGGGTGACCACAGGAGTGAAGAGTTGGATGTGTATATTAAAGGCGAGGCTAGGACAAGTTGGAAGATGTACCAGACCAGGGTCTTCAGGTAGTCTGGGGTTAGCAGGTCATGGCCAGGGCACATGTAGGAAAAACTGTGAAGTAGCCAGGAGATAGGCTGTTTAGCCTGCAGAAGAGGCAGAGTAGGCAGCCAGTTATCATGGAAAGAGAACAGACCTTGTAATCAACCAGACTGAATTCTGTTTCTGACATTTACTAGCTGGATCACCAACTTCTCTGGGCTTTAGCATCCTCATCTCCACAGTGAGGACAGAATATCTGGGTTAGGTACTGTCTGAGGTTTTTAGGTGCTAGATCTACAGGGTTGTTGTTAAGTGCCATCAATTCGATTTTCAACTCATAGCAACCCCATGTGACACAGAAGAACTGTCCCATAGGGTTTTCGAGGCTGTAATCTTTATGGGAGCAGATCTCCAGGTTTTTGTCCTGCAGAGCTGGTGGGTGGATTTGAACCTCTAATCTTTCAATTAGCAGCTGAGCACTTAACGGTTGTGCCACCAGGGACCCTGTTGTCATGGAGCTCATATTTTATTGAGATGCTAATTGTAGATTGCCCTCAATAGTGCCTGTCCCAAACTGTTGCTAGACTGGGGTTCATTACCTTTGTCTCCTTGGCCCTATGTTTATGCATAGATACCAGTTGCCATCAAGTTGATTCGGACTCATGGTGACCCCATGTGTGTCAGAGTAGGACTGTGCTCCATAGGGTTTTCAATGGCTGATTTTTTGTAAGTAGACTACCAGGCTTTTCTTCTGTGGGGGATCTCTGGGTGGACTGGAAATGCCAACTTTTGGTTAGCAGCTAAACGTTTTAACTGTTTGCACCTCCCAGGGACTCCATATATACAGATAGCTAGCTATAAATATATTTCTTTTTTTTGCTATAAATATTTTTAAATGATGAATCGATAACATAATGAAGGGCTGTCTGTTCTTAGGGAGAGTATTTTCTCTCATTAATTGTGCAATAGCTTTACATTTGGCAGACTGAAATACAAACACTCGTGAACAAGGGTTTCACAGATGCTTTGTCCCCTGAGTGCACTCTCTGAGATTTGTGTGGGAAATTAGGGGGAAGCTGTTTCAGCATACAAATTAACCTATGGCCTCAGAATTGCGGAGTCTGCAGTTTCTGTACACT